GTTGTCCCCCCCCCCTCTCTCCCTCCCTCCCCCCTCTCTCCCTCCCTCCCTCCCTCTCTCGCCATCCTGCTCTTTCTTTGTGATTGCTCCGGGGCGGACTTGTGGTGGTGGTGGAGGGAGGAGGAGGAGGAGAAGGAGAAGAGGAGCAGTGGCTCATTTGCATCCTATTACCCTACGCCTGCTGGCCCGGTATAAAACCCAGAGCAGGGCAGTTCAGCCCTCAGACAAACACACACACTGTACAACACTGAGACAAGAGCGCGCGCTCCCGAGGCTGGCTTCAGATTGATCCATTATGACCCAGGTGGGAGAATAAAACAGAGGTGCCTGCTTTACTCTCCCGCTGCCGATTTGGAATTATCTGATTTATTTTTTTTGAACCACCTTGGAATTTCATTGACTGAAGAGGATCCTTCTCCTGAGGATTAATCACATTTGCTGAACGGAACCTGCGCATTTGGGAAGAGCCTTCACTCCGCCGTCTTTCTTTCTTTCTCTCTTTTGTATTCCTGTGCTTTAGCAGTTCATCTGGACTGTGACTCACCGGGAAACTTTTGAAAACTTTCTCCATGATTGCTTGAGAGGTGGAGGACTCGGACCTGTGGAGCTTTTGAAGGGCTGCTTGTTGAAGGACTGGCTGTCAACGCAATGGGACGCCGTGTATCTCTGCTCCTGCTGGTCTCTCTCTCCATCACCTGTCAGGTAAACACACTCAACACGAGCCGTAGTGCTTTAACATTTTAAAATTAGACTTTTTTTCTTTCCTTTCTTTTTGTCACTCGTGTGTCTAGAAGCTAAACAAACTCACCTGTGTTCTCTCCAGGTTCTGGGCTCAGGAGTCTTCGAGCTGAAGCTGCAGGAGTTTCTGAACAAGAAGAGTCTCCAGGGAAACAACAACTGCTGTCCGACAGGGACAGGAGGTGCAGCCCAGTCGCAGACCCATCAGCAGTGCGAATGCAAGACGTTCTTCAGGATTTGTCTCAAGCACTACCAGGCTAACGTCTCCCCGGAGCCTCCCTGCACCTACGGCGGGGCCGTAACTCCGGTGCTCGGCTCCAACTCTTTCCAAGTGCCGGAGACGAACGCTGACAGCTTCACAAACCCTGTGCGCTTTCCTTTTGGATTCACATGGCCGGTAAGTGGATCGATATATGCAGATATTTTTAATTATAAGAGAAAAAAAAGTTTATTTATTTTTCTTAGAATATTTCAAACGTGGTAAAGTCGACTGTGAAGTTCTGGTTATTGTTATTGTTAATTCCAGTGGGAGATCTGAGCGCTTTGATGAGCACGAAACGGAACAGATGCTCTTAACACTTGTGAGGGTCTGTGTGTGTGTGTGTGTGTGAGAGAGGGGCCATTGTGGAACAGAGAGAAGGAGGCGGAGGAGCGTGGTGTGTCCCCCAAAAAGCCTCACCCCCCTCCCCTCCCTCTCTTTCTCTCCTCGGACCATGCAGCCGTGGTGGGAAATTTAACATCCTCTTGAGTTGGCATATCATTGGCAGCGCAGCGTGAAATTCCGCCTCGTTTGGTTTTTACGGCGCAGAGTGAGTGCGATAGTAGCGGGGTGTGAAGAAGGGAGCAGGTAGTGGCCCTTATTAGGCCTCTAATCAACAGGGGAATTAGGCTGTGAAGTTTATTGGGAGGCCACCTAATGGCTGCTGGAGGTGGATGGATGGATGGATGGATGGATGGATGGATGGATGGAGTGAGGCCTCCAGGCCAAGCAGCTGTTGACTCTGTCTCTCCTTTTCAATCTCCTCAGGGAACGTTTTCACTGATCATTGAAGCTCTTCACACTGACTCCCTGGACGACCTGACAACAGGTGGGTGGCAGCCACACAAGACAGCAGTGTAATTCAAAGAGCGGCCAGAAGGCTGATAGTGGCCTGGTTTTTCTTTCACTGACATGTTCTCACTCCAGTGTTCATAAATAAGACATACAAAGTCTTTCGGGCTGGTTTCCCTTTTACATCTGGCCACTTAAGAAGTAACCGCACCCTCCCACCCTCCCCCACCCCGTACCCTCACACTCCATCTTCATGTTACTAGTCAGACTTTGTTTTGCTGTGTTTTCACTACGACAACAAAAGATGATCAGATTTCTACATTTGAAACCAAAGTGTACCTGAAGGTTGAAGGTGTTGATCAACAGGACATTGATTTAAAATCTGTAGAAAACAATAGAAAACAACAACATGGTCAAACTAGGAAGTGAAGAAAGAAGGTGACATGAAGGCAGATTATTTACTCCAGCAACTCTTAAAATAAAGAAGTAAAAAAAAACTAAAAAAATAAAAACCCTTTATTTCCAGATGTTTTTTTCACTGCCACACACAGAGAAAAGGTCACATACCTTCTGCAGGTGCTCGGAGGGGAACTGTTCCTCTTATCTTTATAGCCTCCTGTTATCACCTCACTAATTTGTGGCACCACCAAACTCTTGACGATGTCAAAGATTGATGAGTTAATTGCTTTTTTTTATCTGGTTAATGATGCTTCACATCCTCCAGGTTCAAGATACTCATGTAAAAGTAAATGAACGACATCTGGACGATCTCCGTCTTATAAACCTTTGATTTGCCTGTTGTTTTTCTAGACAACCCAGAGCGGCTGATCAGCAGGGTCACTACTCAGCGCCACCTCTCTGTTGGAGAAGAATGGTTCAAGGACATGCAGATTTCAGGCAGGACGGAGCTGCGTTACTCGTATCGCTTCCTGTGTGATGAGCACTACTACGGCGAGGGTTGCTCCGTCTTCTGTCGACCCCGAGACGACGCATTTGGACACTTCACCTGTGGCGAGCGCGGAGAGATCATATGCAACTCTGGCTGGAAGGGACAGTACTGCACTGAACGTAAGTGGGTTTGGGTTTGTGAGGTCGTTAAATACGCAGAAAACACACGATTTACTGGGTTTCAGCTGCTGCTGATTGAACAGTTCCTCAAACACTGTAGCGACAAGAACCCAGTAACCAATCACATGTCGTTTGCGTTAGTTTTAGCTTGAACCAGATGACAGGATGCAACTATTTAAGGGGCCTTAAATTAGCCCTGATGAGGTAATGACTCAGAAGTTTCCAAAACTGCTTTTAAAAGTTAATTTTCCCATCAGTCAGATGCCTATCATTATTCTTCAGGGACTTTTTCCACCTCCTAATGCGGGGCCCGTGTGCAACAGGCGTCAGTTAGTTATCCCATTGCACCAGAGGCCTCCATTCTAATGAGCCACACTGGCTCCTCAGTAATTCACACGCCGCGTGCCTTCCATTAGACCACTGCGGCCTCCTTTGCCCCAAACCTCCTCCCCGATTGGCCAAGTGGGGGTCGGGTATTGTTGCTGCCGGTGCTGTTGATTGGCTGAGCAGGGTTGTGTATTGTTGTGGAGGGGGCAGCTGCTTGGTGAGAGGAGACAATGGAGCAGCTGTCTGGTGGTTAGCTCCACACAGACCAGCTGGCCCTGGTGGGGGGGTGGGGGGGGGAGGCAGTTGGGGTGTGAGGAGAGACCAGAGGAGCAAACCAGAACATAGAAAAGGATAGGAGTGCAAGAGAGGAGGAAGAGGGGAAGATACAGGATAGGTGAATGGAAGAGGATCAGAAGGAGGAGGGCATGAAGGGAGGAGGAGGGCAAGGGTGAGAAAAGGGGACTTCTGACCCACAGTCAAGGGGGAGAAAGGAGGCTTTGTGTGGGATGCTTTTGTGTTGGAGTGCAACCAAAAAGTGGGTTTGTTGGCTGGTTCTCCACTCTGGTGACCAAAGTTGGTGCCGACGAACACAGTGAATATTTTTAGTCTTTCAGGTTAAATTCTGCTTCTGAAGCACGAAGGCGTCAGTGTTTAAAAAAAATGGATTGAATCTTTCAGTGAGTTCACCTGTTGTTGTTTTGTTTTTTTTCTCTACAGCGATCTGTCTTCCTGGCTGTGATGAAGAACATGGCTTCTGTGACAAACCAGGAGAGTGCAAGTAAGTCCAAAAATCCAGATTTTCTGTTTTCAAAATTAGAGCAGTGGTTCTTAATAAATAAAGCTGTGGGTTCCAACACAAATAAGTCTGTTTTTTTGAGATTTGGGTTGTTAGCAGTGTCTAATTATTTCCGTGTCAACAGATGTCGTGTGGGCTTCAGTGGACGTTACTGCGATGACTGCATCCGTTACCCAGGCTGCCTCCATGGCACCTGCCAACAGCCCTGGCAGTGCAACTGTCAGGAGGGCTGGGGCGGCCTCTTCTGCAATCAGGGTGAGTTTACAGCGGGTTTGGATTCTTTGTAGTCGTGACCCATATTTGTAAACTAGTTGTGAACCAATGCTTTGTCTTTGCTGTTTTCAGATCTGAACTACTGTACTCACCATAAGCCCTGTCTGAACGGAGCCACATGTACGAACACTGGCCAAGGCAGCTACACTTGCTCATGTCCACCTGGATACACAGGTGCCAGCTGTGAGACCCAGGTCAACAAGTGTTCTGGAGACCCCTGTCGTAACGGAGGCAGCTGCATGGTGAGCAACAGTTTTCAAAAATTAGTAACGTCCGAATTGTGGCGTGGGCTCGGAATGGGAAAAGTAACCACTTGTTGTTTTACAGGACGATGATAATGGCTACAGATGCACATGTCCTCCGGGCTTTTACGGCAGCAACTGCGAGCTGAGCGCCAGCACCTGCGCAGACGGACCTTGTATGAATGGTGGACACTGCGTAGACAACCCTGAAGGTGGATACTTCTGTCAGTGCCCAATGGGATACGCTGGCTTCACCTGCGAGAAGAAAATCGACCACTGCTCCTCCAACCCCTGTTTAAATGGTACATTTAATAGTTTAAATGGAACTTCTGGAAATCTGGAATCATAACAGCAGAAAAGTTAACAATCTCGAGACTCGAACTACATCTTAATCCCAACTGTCTTCCCTACTACAGGTGCAGAATGTGTAGATCTGGTCAACTCCTACCTCTGTCACTGCCCTGAGGGGTTTTCTGGTCCCAACTGTGAGGACAGCATCAACGGCATCTCTGGACAATGTCTGTTCTTTCCTTGTCAGAACGGTGGGACGTGTCTAGAAGGAGAAAACGGCTACACCTGCACCTGTCCTCCAGGTACTGCATCTGGAATTGATTGTTGTTGTGGCAGATTTTCACATGCCTGCACCTGTCCTCCAGGTACTGCATCCGGAATTGATTGTTCTTGTGGCAGATTTTGTTGGAGTTTTGTTTCCTGATCAACTGTTATTGTTCTTCTGCAGGATACACTGGCAAAAACTGCAGCTCCCCCATATCTCGATGCTCCCACAACCCCTGCCACAACGGAGCCACCTGCCACGAGCGTGGCGGGCGCTACGTGTGCGCCTGTGTGCCCAGCTATGGTGGTCACAACTGCCAGTTCCTGTTGCCCCAGGTTCCTAAGGGTCAGCCTGTGGTGGATGGACCAGATCGGCGATATTCCTCAGAAAACATGGATGCTGAAGACGACGAGGATAACGTCAGTGGCTTCCCGTGGACGGCCGTCTGTGCCGGTGTCTTCCTCGTGCTCGTGATCCTGATCGGTTGCTCCGTTACCGTTGTCTTCATTCGCGTCAAACTGCAAGAACGCCAGAGTCACCGCAGTGACAGTGTTCACAGCGACAGCCGTGAGACTATGAACAATCTGACCACTACTAACAACTGCCTCCGCAGTGACAAGGACCTGGGGTCAATGATGACCACGTCCATCAAAAACACAAACAAGAAGGTGGACTATCATTCAGACCTTGCAGGATCTCTGGGTGGTCTTAGTGGAATCAGTGGGCTAAACGGGTCGGAGAAAAACGGCTTCAAGGCTCGCTACTCCAGCGTGGAGTACAACCTGGTCCACGAGCTTCGACCTGAAGACCTCAACGAGCAAGAAGTCAAATGTGAAATGCTGGATGAGTTTGAGTCCGAGGAGGGATACAGGAAGAGACACAAAAGGTAGAAACCCACAGATTGTCATGAAGAACTTAAGTCTTCCACACCTGTTCTTGAATTTGATGCATTTCTGAATTGGTTTGTAATGTTTCTCTTCTTTTTGTCCCAAAGCGAGGTGTCAGAAAACAAACTGGAGGAAGAGTTACCGAGCTGCAGCGATGCAAAGTATCAGTCAAGCAGCGAGCTCAACTATCATGGAGCATGTGATTCAAAGTACCAGTCCACCAGTGACATTAAATACCAGTCCACCAGCGACGTCAAGTGCCAGTCAACCGCTGATGTTGAATACCACTGTAACAGTGACAGCGTGTACCCGTGCTCACCTGACACCAAGTACCAGTCCGTCTACGTCATATCGGACCAGAAGGACGAGTGTATCATAGCTACAGAGGTGAGTACGAAACCGACCTGTCCTACTCTGACCAAACCGCTGCAGGTTAAATCTCCATGACACTGACTTTTCCCTTTTCTGTTTGGCAGGTATGATAGGAGACACGACTCACTCCCTGTGGTCCACGGTGGTCCACAAAGACCAGCCCTGAGCAGTAGAGCTCAGCTTCAATCCAGGGGTTTCTGCTCCTGCTGTTTGCTGTTGTTGTTGCTGGGCTTTTACCAGAGGAGCCACGCTGCTGCCGCTGCTGCTGCTGCTGCTGCTGCTGCTGCTGCTGCTGCTGCTGCTGCTCCTGCGCTAACACAGAGTCAGTCCTCACATGGTGCTGCTTTAGGACTTTGCAGTGCCATGTTGAATAAGAAGACATTTTTGACCCTCTACAAAAGAACTCTTTAGCTGACTCAGTCCAATGGACAAAGTACCAAAAGACAGTTGGAGCGTCCTCGCACAGGGATGGTGCTTAACTGAAGAACGTGGCCGGAGAACCGATGGAGAACTGGCAGCAATGGATGAAGTACTGCTTGTTCCAGGACAAACTGTTTTCTCCCGGAAAACAATGAAGTATTGACTTTAAAGTATGATTATTGTAGTACCATGGTGTACCTGTTTCGAATGAACTGTTATAAGTACCTTTGGAGTACTGAGAACTTTTTAAGTACTGTTGTAGTACAGTTATGTGCAGTGTAAAAGCTGTGTTAATATTGAACAGTTCTGTGCAGTGCTGCAGAGCGGACGGTGAAGCGGTCGACGTTTTATCGCGGTTGAGTAAAAACTGCAGACGCCAAGGATTGGCCTGAAACTCTGCAGCACTGAGAGACGATGTTGGCTGAGCTGGTTCTCAGCAGAACGTAGAGAAAACTGAAGATTCCAGTAGTGACTGCAGATGGATCCAGCTCGGATCCTGTTGGGCCATACTGGCCTTTGACCCCTGGCGGTTTTGATCCACGGGGCGATGTTTTTGGGGGCAGGGGAACTCAGGAAACACAGTCATTAGTAGAGCAAAGGAAAACAAATAGGGCACAGTTTTTCTAATTGTTTTGATTTAAAATTCGGCCGTCAAATTCAACCTTCAATTGACCCCTCACGATGCTGTCGCGTTTCCAAGCGGGCTATATCCGACTAGTCTTAACAACCAGACCTCACTGCACTACGGAGGTGTGTGTGGATGAGTGTGTGTGTGTTTTATTTTTTCTCTAATATGCCGTTAGATGTATGCACTGCCCATTCCTTTGGACTCCTAGTCTTCCAATATTAGCCAGTTGAAGGACACCATCACCCTGCCATTAGTTTGCATTATTTGTTTTTATTTTTATTTTATTTGTTATATAAAGAAAGATGTATTCCTTTAATTTAATGATGTAATTATTTGCGTTTTTAATTTTTTGTGGTGATGATTTTGTTTTTGTTATAATTTAAGTTGGACTCTTATCATTGGCAGATAATGTATGTATGTATGTATGTATGTAAGTATGCATGTATGTAAGGCACTTGAGACCACTGTGACTGTGTTGTATTTAAGAGAGAAGACATATGTACAGAGCCTGTCATTTTTATTACTGGAAAACAACACAATATTTTTTTTCCAAAATAAAAGAGGAATGAAATATAAAACTTTCGACTTTGGATTTTTCTTACATGAACACATTGGAAAGGAATCTGTGCTTTTTATCGTCATATTAGCAGCAAAAGACAATCACACTGCACTTCCCTTCAAAACTCTACTGGAAATCACTGTAGTTCCTTCAATCCAATGCTTTTCTCACTCTACAACAAATGAAACCACTAATCAGTGCAATCTCATTGGGGCACAAAATTGAAATTTTGCTTTGCGGCCGACAACCATCTGCAACAACTCCACTTCCCATGGTGCACCCTGTCCATGTTGCATTTGACATGGAACCTTGATATTTTCTTTTGACTGTGTGTATGAAACACTAAATAATACACATACGTACTGTATGTGTATTATTTAGTGTTTCTTTAAACGCAGTAGTACTGAAGTAGGAGCCCGTCCACAGAATTCAGTGGCAAAGTTCAATAAAGTGATTTCTTTTGCAAACAAGATTAAAAGAAGACGAGACGTGGAAATTATGGACTAAATTCAAACAAAGCAACATTTGTCATGTTGATACTGAAAATTTACACCGGATTATAGATGTAAAACTAGAGATATTCTAAAGAATGTTCTAGAACATGACTGATGACTGAACATGAACTGAAGAGATTAGAACTGACTGAAGGAAAACCCATGTTTGTAACGCAGATAGTTTTTCACAATGGCTGCGGTTGAAGTCACTTGGTTCTGTAATTTGTACTGTAATGTTTTCTCAGGAGGCGCTGTTCCACTCAGATACAGTCGGACGATTGGTCTCTTGTCTTTTGTTTCCACTGATGTCATCCTGTGACCTCACGTCATGACCTCATTCCTTCATCAGTGAACGACAGAGTGAACGATGCATTAAAGTCAGCATTAGTGTTTTTCACGCGGGCAGTTCAAAGACGATGAGGGGGAAAAAAACTACAATCACAGAGGTTTCCTTTAGTGTTGGTGAGTGTATACGTACACAAGTGTAAGTGTGTGTGTGTGAGTGTGTGTGTTTGTCTGACGCAGCAGAAGACTGTCTCCTCGTGGAACCACTAAATGAGACAAAGACACACCCCATAATCATAGACTGCTTAGCTAGACTCCTCTGAGGCCAGGGCCATCTCTTTGTGTGTGTTTGTGTGGGTGTGTGTGGGTGAGAGAGGGGTGAAGCGAGAGAAAGAAAGAGAGAGGGGTTGGGGTGGGGAGAGGGGACAGTAAAAAAAAAAAGTGTGTGTCTCTGTATGTACAAAGCAACACATGTTTGGTTTCAGAGAACAATCTTTACTACAACCTTGTCTAAAGTCTCTCTCTCTCTCTCTCTCTCTCTCTCTCCGTTTGTGTGTTTCTGTGTGTGTAAAATCTAGTTTTAGGCTGAGGGGGTATTTATAGACGGGGAGAGAAACCACCAGTCTGGATTTAGTCCCAGTTGCCCCTGCCTGACTACTCTGTGTATGATTTTATGCATGTGTGTAATTTCGACCAATGGGAGTGTAGAATTAGTCATCAAAGACACTCGTCAGTTTTACAGCCTGACATAAAACCGAATCAGATAGACATTAGATGATAAATATTAATTACATAGATCACAGCGGAAAAGTCGCAAATTCACACACACACGAGCTACTACAAATGAAGTACAAATGAGGTATATGTGTGTGTTGTCACATACGTCACAATAAAACATATTCTTCACAAATTACTAAAATCTCGTCCTGTTTAGTTGAAGAAAATGCTGACGTACTCACAGGAATTGAAGAAAGAGAAAATCTTCTTCAACAGATCTGATTCTCTTATTTTGTTTTCCAAGCCATCTGCTGCCACCTAGCGGAAAAGTATTTATTTGTTCTGCCTGTCACGCATTTACCAACACAATAATAAATAAATAAATAATACATTTTGGACCAATTGAGTGAAGTGAAATGTTATTTCCGCGGCACACTTTATAATCTCTCTGGGAATCACTGGTCTACAGCAGCGATCGCCAACCGTTTTTGTACCAAGGACCGGTCGGCCAGTATCAGCCTTTACTGTGGACCAGTAATACTGCGCAATCATTGAAGAATCATTGAGACTTTTAGACTTTATTCTGTTAGTGTCAGAGTCTGAATGAGCTGTGGTTTTGAAACATTGACAGGGTTGGACACTCCAGCTCTACAGACTTCAATCTGAATTCCCAGCTGAGATTCCATGTTGTTGGCCAACAGCTTCAGTAAAACATTGACATCTGTGTAACATTGAGATCCTCACGCTCTAACGGTGTGTTCAGTGGTGTTTGAGCAACAATTGTAGGAAAACAAAGAAAATCTTAAGATGCACTGATGCAGGGTTTAAAAAATCTGTTGTTGCCAAAGTTCAGACTCTTGAACTCATGTGTTGTACAGACTCTCAATTCATGAAAACTAAGCTGATTTAAGATTCACAAACGCCACGTGCAGCCAGAGACACACTGGACGATCAAAGTGTCCTCAGTGTTTTCACCTGCATTCACAGGGCGACAGATTGTAGCTGCATGTCACCCGTCCATTTGGTGCAGACAAAGGGTCAGTTTCCCCCGTCCAACGACTGCAACTGTGACTGCTTCGAAAAAAAAAAAAATCTATCTGTTTGCATTACGCCAGCAGAGAGCAGTTGTTAGCACATACCATGCTAAGCTTTTTAACTTAACTTTTTTCCGCGGCCACAATGGCTTTTTCGCTGAGTTGGAAAATCACAGGAGACAGGCTTAAAGCTGGTCTTTTGTTGTGGCCAGGCCTGTCCTGCAGCCACTGAACAGTCGCACGATCCTGCATCCTCCCTCTGTGCTGCCCGCTGGTGTCAATGGTCAGACAAAGCCCTGGTCAGTGGCTGCCATATGCTGCCCTGTTGCTCATGAGGAACAACAACTCTTTGAACTTTCTGCAGGAAGCACTCGAACACATTCACACGTGTTGGTGGGATCTTCTCTGTAGAGTCCAGTACTTTTTTCCACACAATGTTCACCTTTTGATGCATCAGTCCAGACAGAAGTTCAGTATTTTGGAAAGTAGTTCTTTGTAATTCATCATATAATGATGTTAATTATTCGCCTGCCCTTAACTCAAAATGTGTCAGCCTGTGTTACCTGGACACGGCAACAAAGTTATCAGAATCAATTAGAGATGTCCAATACTAACTTTTTGTCAATATTGTCCCGAACAATTCATTTCCGATTCTTTGCAGCTGTTTTACCCCCAAAATGCGGTAAACGTCTCAGGACCCCACAAGCAATCCCAGCATATTTGTTCGACACCCAGACGTTGCAATAATGTGTTTTCATTATCGGAGGTTAAATATCGGATAAATATCAGTAAAAAACATGCAAGCTAAATCACGCAAGCTATTAGACTATATAATGGTGAGTATAGTTAATGATTTTTGCCCAGCCCCTCTGTCCTCACGCCTAAAATCACATTTTTTATTTTGACAGGGAGTAGGCAGGACCATATCTAATCCATAGAAAAGGCTGTTTAAGTGTGTCTCTGCCGTAATCTGATTAATCTGTCCATTCATGCCCTCCTCTCCTCCTCTTCATCTTAGGTAAAAGAAAAGAACAGAGAAAGAGAACAGCTAACGCTCACTACTCAGCACAGAGCGTATGTAGGAAATGGACTTAGTTACGTATATGGGCAGTTACAAACAAAAGAACAATCTTAACAAACAAGAAAAAAACAAGAGCCACTCAAATCAGTTTGTTCTATGATCTTTCTAGAACTAAAGACATGGATAACATCATGAACAGGAGTGGTTTAAATTTGAATTCATTTGCCTTGCCGCACCACCCCCAACCTCCTGTAATAGCTCTGTGCCCCCCAAGGCAGGACCCGCCCCCTACTTTGGGAACCACTGAAGTACTTTAACTTCTGGTGGAGGAGGAGGACAAGAGGAGCTAATCTGGTGTCAAAAATGACTAAAAATGCACAAAGGAGCCTCTCTGATGGACAGGGGGAGCTGGTTCCAAAGAACTAAAAAGAACCGATTACACTTGTTGCTTTTTTTGTTTTGTTTATTTTTTTAGACTTCTGTACAGATAAGAGCATTTGGTGCACTGACCTGAGTGAACTACAAAACAACAGAGTTGGAAAAAAAATGGTGTCAGTGAAGAGAGACTAAAACTGGTGTGATATGTTCTTTCTTCTCATGCGACAACAGAGACGTTTAGACCAGTTTTCGAGCTACAGTACATATTTCACGTTATGGTGTCAGTGAAGAGAGACTAAAACTGATGTGTTCTTTCTTCTCATGCAACAACAGAGACATTTAGACCAGTTTTCGAGCTACGGTACATGTTTCACATTCGAAAAATCCCACAGAGCAAAACCAAACAAAATGTCACCCCAAGTATATGTAATGAAATATAACGATCTTCTTTCAGTTTCAGTTTCAGTGTATTCTCAATTGACTTACTCAGTCTGAGGCCCGGGCCTGTTTAGATGAACACAACATTGACAAACTCACAGGAATTGAAGAAAGACACATTAGAAAATAAAATTTAAAAAGTAAATAAGTAAATAAAAAGTTTTCAGACCAATTATAGCAAGATTTTCCACAGTGAACCCCATGACCTCTCACAGCACATTAATGTGCCAGCAGACACTGGTTGTGAGCCATGAAGTGTGCAACTATGTATTGTTAAGTTGCTTCAGACATCAAACATCACTTCAGTGGAAACACGGTTGTTATACACGGTTGTTCTTATCAACCTTTTTACTTGAGTTTACCCCTGAACATCAAAGGCCATTATTCCCTTCATGTCGTTTTGCTGATCTGCAGTTTCCACCAAGCAAACATCATTGTAACAGTGACTCACCCACTTTATTCTCTTCACTGTGTTCATTATTAGCATTTCAACAGTGAGCATCACTGACTAGTGATTTTTGGGCTGAATCTGGTGGGAAAACACACATTTCTCCCTCGACCCCCCCTCCTTTGTTGTGTTTGAACAAACGATGTGACCACAGCAGTCCGACTCGCACAATGACAGACAGCTTATTCAGCTACTTCATCTGTTGCAGCTCCCCAGGGACCGGGCTTGCGTCTTTTCCCACTGATCAATCTCTCCCTCTCTCTCTCTCTCTCTCTCTCTCTCTCCCTCTCTCTCTCCCTCTCTCTCTCTCTCTCTCCATCTCCTGCTCCCTCATCTTCCATGATGCCTGCTGCTGACGGTCAAACTAATTAAACCTTTCTCTTTGTGGGCAATGTTTTTTTGTTTTTATTTTGC